CTGTGCCCCTGGAGTTCAGAAGAGGAACTGTGAATTGTGAGACACAGGGGTGCTGGGAAGGGAACCTGGATCCTCTGTACCAGTGGCCAGTGCCTTTAACAGCTGAGCCATCTCTCCAGCCCTGAAAACTGCCATTCACAGTGGAGGATGTCATTCCCCCCCCTCCCCTGCCCGGACATGAAGGTGGACAGCAGAAGACCTGGATCTCCTCTGTGGTGTAAAGCCCCTCCATCCTCCCCTCTCCCCTGAGGCCTCCCAATCTAGAGCCTATTGACAGGCAGCTGAGAGAGGAGGCGCCCAGGTTAACCTCCTGTAGAGATAGTCTGTTTTCCATCTGGGCTCCTTCGTGTTTACAGGATAGTCCCTGGCTACCACTACTATAGCTCTCTGCACACGCAGAATGCGTCCTCAGTCCTCAGAATTTCTTTGGCTAGTCTCCTACTTAATACTGTCGCCTCACCACACAGCAAGAGCCCTACCACAAGGGCATACCCAGCCTTGCCAGACGGTTTTTTTCAACAAATATGATCTCCCCTCCCCCAACAGACTTTTACAACTTAACTCTGCTCAGGTGCCTCCGGGAGCTTGGGAAATCATGGTTGTCTACTCAAGTGCTTGTAGGAGAGGAACAAAGAGAGTTCCAGATCTCCTTAGAGCGTCTCAGACCACACATATTCTGGGACATCAATGTAATTTCTGTGTTGTTCCTGGCTGGCTTTGTAGCGCTTCTGTTCTCGGTAGCCCCGCAGGGCCAGCACCACGCTGGCTGTGTACATAATCACCAGAAGACAAGCGAAGGTGGCCGCTGCCCCATCCGTGCCCGCCAGCTGGCAGTTCATCCAGGTGAGACCCTTACGGGCATAGAGCCTCTCTCTGTTTTTGCAAGTGTCTGTGGAATTGATGCTCAGTGCACCGTACAGGTAAAAGCCAACGCCCACACAGTAACCTACTGCAGCCAAGAGGCTGAAGGTTGCCTCCGACAGCAGCCACCTCCCAGAGAGCTTCCTTAGACTCTTGGCTCCCTTCAGTAAAACGCCCATCGTGAGGACGCCCAGTCCTAGGGAAACAGCCACGCCGCCATAGATCAGGGGTGACCGCAGGATGGTGTACCGCTGGTCCAGCTGCCGAACCTGCTCCAGTTCTGTACCCTCAAAAGGGGAGTAGTAGTTATTCCCGAAGCCACTGCCGCTGGCAAAGCTGGCGCTGAATCCGGCCAGGACAAAGTAGGAAGCCACGATGCATATGAGAACCATGCCATTCAAAATCACCTCCACTATCTGCACCACACCTGGGGGAAGAGAGAGTCCGGTTTAAGGCTGCGTCACTCACCAGGGGAACTAGGGATCCCCTGGCTCCGAAGGGGGTGACCAGCGGCTCAATTCAGCAACCTGATCAACATTCTTGGTTTTGTCTTTTTTTTTTTTAAAGCCATTTAAAATTCTAACGCTTATGGTGGGATCCAGACATTGTGCATTTTAGGCAAGCGCTCTGAAGGGAAAGTATCATACATCCCCCCCCCCCCCCCCCCCCCCCCCCCGCCAAGAAAAAAATCATTGCCGGTTGGGTGGGTGGAGCGATGGCTCAGGGATAAGAGTACCTGTAGCTCTTGCATAGGACCTGGGTTGGGTTCCGAGCACCCACACAGTAGCTCACAACCTCTGTAACTCTGGTTCCAAAGGATCCAATGTCCTCTTCTGACCTCAGAGGGCGTCAGGTATGCAAGCATTGCACATGCAAAACCTTCATATACATAAAATAAATTCTTACAAAAAAATCAAATGTCAACCTGAAAATGTTGGAGGCTTAAAAATTAAAAAAAAAATTTTTTTTTGACATACGGTCTTGAACTCTATCTACCTGTCTCAACCTCCCAAGTATTAGGATTGCAGGTGTACAGTACTGCAATTTTACCCTTAGGCATTCACCCTAAAGAAATAAAGTTACTTGGTAGTTCAAGGAGGAGAACCTTGAGCGGGAGGCCAGTCTGGGCTACACAATGAGAGCCAGCCTCGAAATTTAAAAAAGGAAGAAAAACATAATAACATGATGGCGAGTCTCCTAGTGTTGGCTTTATTTGTAACAGCCGAGTCTTGGGATGACTTTGCCTTGAGCAGTGAATGGTCCAGGTACCCCCATTCCCCACCCCCACCCTGTCTATCTCCAGGGAGTGAGAGGCAGGACCCTGGGTGAATTTCAAAGTATTTATAAGTGGAGGGAAAGTTCTGGTCTCAAAAGGTTACATGATTCCGTCTGAGGAGCAGTCTCAGTGGGACAGAATGCGGCACACGTGGCGCACGGGGAATGCCGGGGACCGGCTAAGTGGGGTGGGAGAAGAGGATGGGTGTGGCTGTGAAGGCGCAGCACTAGCGGGGGCTGCTGGGATGCAGTGTTTCTGGGCGCCCTTGTGGTGAGCACATTAATGACAAAGCTGCACACGGATGAGTGTGAGGGGGCGGGGGCGGGGAATCGGGAGGCGGCGGCAGGGGTGTGTGTGAGAGAGAGAGAGAGAGAGAGAGAGAGAGAGAGAGAGAGAGAGAGAGAGAGAGAGAGAGAGAGAGAGAGAGAGAGAGTGTGTTACCCAGCTCTGAAGATCACCACTTTCTTGGGCCCTGCTATCCTTATTCAAGACTCACAAGTACGGGAAAACTACTGAAGGGGACGAAAGGCCACCCTGTGCAGCCCTGTGACTTCTTGTGAAATTTCAAATGAAAAGTTTGAAAAAAGCATTACTGTCACGAAGTATAAACTGAAATGTTTTCATTCCTGCTCTCCACGTCCCCCAGTACAGTCTTGCTGTGTAGCCCAGATGGTCTCAAACCCTTACCCGGCCACCAGGACTCCCGGCATTTTCTTTTTTTTTTCTTTTTTTTATATTATCAGCAGTTATATTTGGGGAGTATAATATTAATAATTCTTTTTTTAATTTCTTTTTTTAAATTTATTTATTTATTAAAGATTTCTGTCTCTTCCCCACCCCCGCCCNCCCCAATCAAATCCCCCTCCCTCGTCAGCCCAAAAAGCAATCAGGGTTCTCTGCCCTGTGGGAAGTCCAAGGACCACCCACTTCCATCCAGGTCTAGTAAGGTGAGCATCCACGAAACTGCCTAGGCTCCCACGAAACCAATAGGTCCAGTAGAATCAAAAACCCGTTGCCCTTGTTCTTGAGGTCTCAGTAGTCCTCCTTGTCCGCTATGTTCAGCGAGACCAGTTTTGACCCAGGCTTCCCCGGCATTTTCTTAACTTCCTAACAATCCCTGCTTCTGTCTCCCGTTCTCTCTCTGTGTGTGCATGCGTGCATGTGTGCATGTTTGTGGTGGGAGGCTATGCATGTACACGTGCCGAGTGTCATTCCTCAGGGGTTCTTTTTTTCGAGACAGGGCTGTTGCCGAGCCGAAACTTCACCAGAAAGGCTTGAGTAACTACCTACTGGTGCGTTCCAGGGGGGCCACCATCTCTGCCTCCCATCTCATCAGCCCAGGACTGACAGGAACCCACCACCAAGAATGGCTTTAACACATGGTCTAGGGATCTGAACTGAGGTCCTTATGATTGTGAGACGGGTTCTTTACCCACGAAACCATCTCCTCAGCCCGCTTTCCAGCCTTTCTTTACAGATAAAAACACCCAAATCTAGTTGCACCTTCCTTCCCCCTCCCTCCCAACACAGCAGCAGCACACACACCATCCAGTATCTTGCTGCTGCTTTCGTCTACTATCTGCCAGCGCTATCTCTAGATCAGTCAGCCCAGCCTTATATGACTTCCGGCTTGGTTGTGTGGTTGGACCAGTTGGCTCAGCCAGGTTTCTACAGACAAATACTTGTGCTGTTCACGGGTAGGGAACTTCTTAGACGTCAGGAAGATCTGCGGATTCCTCAAAGCACTGAGAGTCAACAGGTGGGCCAAGACTGAAGGCCTCTTGTCTGCTGGCTGTCCCTGTCACTGACCCCTGCAGAAGCTACAGGCTGGACTTCTGGAAGTTTGATGATTAGCATCCTCCCGGGGTGCAGAGGCGAGAACCTCAAATTCGAATACCAGATTCCATTGTCTGCTCTTTACTGATGTAATCTTGCCTCGCCCCCACTCACTGAAGTCCTTTCAAGTGGTAGGCATTTTGTCTGATGAATGAAGACAAGACTTCCAGCCTCACCCACCTCCCTCCCAGGCCTGTGGGAGGGGTCAAGTGGAAGGGAGAACAGCCCCCCCCCCCATCCCCAGTAGCAGCTTCTGCACTGGAAGGTTCCACTGGGGATTGAAAAGCATCTGACCAAGGAACAAAGCTGGCTTTTTCTCAGGGGTGTTCGCTAAACAATACATTTTAGCAACTGTTTGTATAGCATTTATGTTTAAGTTACGAATAATCAGAGATCGAGGATACAGGAGGCTATGGATATGTGATACGCGAATACCATGCCGTTCTTTTATACAGACCAGAGCATGCTCAGATCTGAATATTGAAAGGGGCTCTGGGACCAATCCCCGCGGACACTGACACATGACTAAAACTCCTTGAGAATCATAAATGAATGGTAGGGCATCTCTGTAATATTCTAAAATGGGAGAAGACAAGGAGAGAATTCTGGAAAAGTGCCATTTCCCAGAGATTAGGACAGCTATGCATTGCACTAATGGGCACCATGTTTAGCACGGAGGCAGTTAAGGGGCAGCAGCCTTACAATCCTCAGGCGCAGCCAGCTGAGCTTATCTTCTGCAGGCCCACGTGAATTCCTGAAAAGCCAGGGGACACAGCAGCGTGGGGATCTGAGAGTTGAGAAACTGTATTGCTCTTATTTAAAATTCAACATAAGATTCAAACTGCCCACTCTTCAGCCAGGCTCTGTAAGCACAGCAGACGATGAACCAGCCCAGATGTCACTGGTAGAGGGGCAGCTGTCTCCCACACACCACGTCTTTCCCCACCCTGATTTCCCTTCCGTCAGCATGTAGAAACAGAAACACTGTACTGCTACAAGAGATGGGAAACATGACCCTCTTTCCTTCTGGTACCCACGGCACGCATCTCTTGGCTGAAGTGGTAGAAATCTTGTCTCCCGTGTCTTCTAGGTGCCGTGACGACAGGATCTGTTACATGACTACCACTGCAGGGATGACTCCCAGCACCAACCAGCCCAACCTGCTAGCTAAACTACCTACCAGACAGTCACAAGTATCTTTAAACACACTGCTGATGCAGAAAGATACATTAGAGAAAAAGGAAAGAAAGTCAGGCGTTGCAATTTATCTCCCAGTTGGGATGGTTTGGGTCTCCAGAGAGATGGCAGAGGTCTGTGGAAGCAGAGACTCTGAAGTCCCCAGATCTTTACTGTAAACAGCATCTTTCTGAGCAAGGCTGACTTTGCAGTTGACCATGTAACACTCCGCTTAATTCTCTGTCTACTTCTGCCTTTGCGCTGTCCCTAACTGTTCTGAGGGGGAAAAAATCCAAGGCGAGCAAGTTGGTTTGATCTTTTTATTTTGTGAAAATAAAACAATATGTGAAGTCAAGGTATCTACAGAACAAAAAAAATAAAATTAAAAGCTCCCCTTTTCTTTGAGCAGAATCTCTCACAGTATTCAAGGGGACTTCTAACCATAGGTGACAGAGGTGTGCCCAATTCTGCCCCTAAGCCCAAAGTGTTCGAAATCAATCAATGGCATTTAAGTAAATAATGGATAGTGGACATAAAGAAAACCGCTGCCTCCAAATTAATTTTTTCCTTTGAAATGCTTGGATTCCCATCAAGCATAGAACAGATTTGCTTGCAACATAATACACTGAAATGGCCCACGCTGGAATTCAGAGTCCAGTCCATGAAGTTATCTGGCCAAAAGTAACACTCCTCTGTAGGGAAAAAGACTTTACATTCTTTTCTTCTGGGCAGGTCCCAAAGAAACTTAGCAGCTGCGGGGCTAAGTTCTTCATACAATGGCACATTTACAAGAGGGTACAAATGCGTATTGAGAACTCAGGGCTGCGGTAAGGGGCCTGTAGAATGGTTTCTTTGCAGCTCAGTGAATTTAATCTGATTCTCTTTTCCTTAAGCGATGCCCTCACCCTGAAGTTTTTCTGGGAGTGTCCCCCAGAATCCACAGAGTTGAAGAAATGCAGGGACCAGATACTCAGTGTGGAGATGCCCGGGGCACCAACTGAAGAGATCCAAGTTTAGAACACACAATTCAGGCGGGGCTATCCCCTGTCGATGAACTTTTTGTGAGCTCTAAGGAGAAGCTTCCAATGTAATTGTCCCTACCCTGATGTGAAGTGCCCCTCGCCTTCCTGCTGTGGGTCCTGGCCTTTACCAGCTTCTTCTTTGTTTTTTTTTTGTTTTTTTCTTTTTCTTTTTTTGAGACAGGGGTTCTCTGTAGTTTTGAATCTGTCCTGGAATTAGCTCTTGTAGACCAGGCTGGCCTCGAACTCAGAGATCCACCTGCCTTTGCCTCCTGAGTGCTGGGATTAAAGGTGCGTACCACCACTGGTTGACTGTTTTTTGTTTGTTTGTTTTTTTTTTTATCCAGCTCCTTCTTTATCTGGCTTGGAGACAGGGTCTTGCTATTTAGCCCAGGCTAGCCTTGAACTCTTGAGTCTGCTGCCTCCAACTTAAAAGTGCTAGGATTATAAGATTACAGACCTGTACCACCATGTCTGGCTCTAGTGTTTTGGATTTTGATATATTTTTGGTTAGGTCCACATCCACAGAAGATTCCAGAAACCAGAGAAACACTTCTCCAGTCAACCAGGAGCTCAAACCAGCATACCCACACTGGCTTGGTATTCTGGGTCATTAGTGAGATCCACATGAAAGAAGAATTCTTGTGAAAGATCATGGTTGAAAGTGCCTGCTATCATGTATACTCGGCAGAACATTCTAGAAGTCTAAAACTCAAGCATTTCTGCGGGCTTCTCCTTCAGCTTCTTGACTTTACGGTAACCCTTAAAGGCCAGGACAGCTCCCACGGCAAAGACCACAATGCCCATGGCGGCAAAGACTCCTGCTCCTATGTCTCCCCCGTGCATACCACAGCCGAAGCCACTGTAACCTTTGCTCTGGTACAGGGCCTCCCTCTCCTTACACACATCTGAGCTGTAGGCAGCTGAGAGGTGCTGGAAGAAGAAGTACGAGGCCGGGATGTACGCCCCAGCGATGAGCACATCCATCAAGCCCTCGATCACCAGCCACGGCGGACAGTGCCATGGGACCCGCAGGATACCCCCGAGGATGAGGAGACAGGAGAAGGTCATGAGGGCTCCGCTGTAGGCCATTGCTGCAGTAACTGTGGGCAGCTTGAGCTGATAGAATTGCACATCCAGCTGCTGGGCTTTCTCCCCGTCAGCACCACTGAAGCCACTATAAGCCCCTCCGTACTGGTAGTAGTAAATCCCGCCCAGGCTGGTGATGCCTGTGTAGCCCCCTGTGGAGTTGTAAGAGACAGAGCTGCAGGCCAAGATCAACAAGTTGAGCAGAACCTCCAGCATCTGGCAGCAGGCTGTAAGGAGAGGGCGTTACTGTTTCGAGATGCTGTCTTTGCACCAGGAGACTCTCACTATCCTTCCCGCCGGTTCCTTCTGCCCATAGCGGACAGCGAGTGTCGGCTGCACAGCTAGTGTGAGGTGGTAGCATGAATGCTTTTGTGAAATTCTTTTGACTGAAAAGCATAACACTCAAAAAAGCCACACAGGGCTAAGTGGTGGTGGTGCACACCTTTAATCCCAGTACTCAGGGGGCAGAGTTCAAGGCCAGCCTGGTTTAAAGAGTGAGTTTCAGGACAGCCAGGGCCACACACAGAAAAACCCTGCCTTGAAAAACAAAACCAAAAAGCCAAGCAGGGATGGCTGTCAGTAAAGAGCTTGCCTTCTAAGCACAAGAACTAGATCCCCAGCACCCACGTAAAATACTAGGCGTGGTGGCACCTGACTGTAACCCCAGTACTGGGAGGCAGAGGCAGGATGGTCAGGAGTTCTTGGCCAGCCTTAACTACCTAGTAAATATCAGTCCAGCCTGGACTATATGAGATCTACTCCCTCTCTACATACACATGTCTCCCCATCTCAGGAAATCTAAGTTTTAATTCTAAATATATTTTTATCTCTCTGTAAACATAATCTACTTTAGAGATTTATCTTTAATTCTTATTATTTACACAGGTCAGTATATGCGCATGTGCCCAAAAGCCAGAAGAAGATGCCAGATATCCTGGCGCTTAGTTACAGACATTCGTGAGCTGCCGGATGTGGTGTGCAGCCAAACACGGGTCCTTATCATAGAGCAGCAAGCGCTGTTACCCCTGAGCCATCTCTCCGGCCCTACCTCAGGACTTTAAAAGGTGTAGAGATTACTATAATGGTTTCACCATGGAGCACAGGTTAGCCCAGAACTCTGGATCCTTCTGCTTTAGTTTCTCAGGTGCCATCATTCCTGGCGTCACTATGAATTTAAACAATTCAATGGGACGAAGGGACATCTAGATTTCTCCAGTGCACGGTTATGTGACAAACATTTTTTTTGTGTGTGTGGTACTAGGGATGGGAGCCTAGAGCCTCCATAGCCTACATACGCTTACTGTACATGCATGCGTGTGTAATGTCTGGCCTTTGTCATGTCAGCGCTGGGGGTGGAGATGAGGGATCCCAGGGGCTTGCTGGTCTGCCAGCCAATGAGAGACCCCATCTTAAAACACAAGGTGGAGAGCACTTGAGGAATGATGTCGGAATTGTCCTCTGGCCTCCATGCACTTGCAGACACGCATGGACACACACACACAGAAGGGGGGAAATGACTATACTAATTGGAAGAAAACTGAAATTTTTGTTTTATTTTATTTATTTGAGAAAGCGCTTTCCTGAAACTTGTGGTCCTCCCACCTCAGCCTCCCAAGTGCTAGAATTTCAAGTGTGTCCCATGAAGCCCAGCTTGTCTATTTTGTTTTGAGATAGTCTATGTCACCTTGGTTGATCTAAATCATGGACTCAACTGACCCCCTCGCCTCAGCCTCCTAGGTGGCTGGGGCTGCTGCTGCGTGCCTCCGTCCTGGCTGAAAGGTCAGACTTTCAAAGGTGCTTTGCAGTGATGGTCAGAGCTACCAGAAAGTACAAACTGCTGCAATTTAAGAGCTAAGCTAAACCCTGTCTTGAAAAACTAAAACAAGAAGAAAAAGAAGAGGAGGAGGAGGAGGGAAAGGAGGATGAGGAGGAGAAGGAGGAGGAGGAGGAGGAAGAGGAGAAGAAGAAGAAGAAGAAGAAGAAGAAGAAGAAGAAGAAGAAGAAGAAGAAGAAGAAGAAGAAGAAGAAGAAGAAGAAGAAGAAGAAGACAACTAAGCTTCTAAGGATAGGGGAGAGCAAGAAGGTGGGGAGGGAGAAGTGTTCCATATGCAAATGAGCTGAGACTTACATCTTCTAATCATGGAACTAACCCTACACACCTGTCCCTCCAAACAGTCAATGAACAGAATCTACACTCACAGAGGACTGGGGTAGGGTCAAGGGAAGCCTCATGTGTGCAAGCCACAGGCACACCTGCTTTCAATCTGATCTTTACTTCCAGCCCCTAAAGATGTCTCTGTGAGTTCTTTCTTGCAAAAGTGAAGTTGGCTCTCATCTCTTTCTGTCGGTCTGAGTGTTCCACTGAACTTTCTAGGGGTGAATCACAGAGTGTCCCCAGAGGGCCACAGGCTGCCCTGTGTACTGGGAGGAGTGGAATGACACGATTTCACTGACAAAGAAAAAGCCACAAAGGATCCACTCCACTGTGGACTTAAATGCCTTCCGGTGACCTGCACCCAGGCGTGTCTTCCTGCCCCAGCCAGTCCTAATGCAGACGGCTGTCTTGCCACTTAGTGCTTGCCTGTGCACCGGTATAGGAGCACCAAACACCAGCGTTCTTCACCAGCGCCCATCTGTTGCTTTCTGAGGGCCGAACCATCCTCAAGCTTTCCAACAGACCAGGACTTCCATACCCAACCGCCAGGCTCAAAGTGAAATAGCCAGAAGCAATCAAATCTAGGTGTGTTTTGGTCAGAAGCCCAGGCCCTGCCCGTCCTCTTGGAAAATCAATCACAGAAAGAAAAGAGAGGAAGGAAGGAAGGAAGGAAGGAAGGAAGGAAGGAAGGAAGGAAGGAAGGACAAAGAAAGAGAGAAAGAAAGAAAGGAAAAACAAAGAAAAAAAGAAAGGAAGGAAGGAAGGAAGAAGAAAGGAAGGAAGAAATCTTGTTAGCCAGCCTCAGACTTGCTCCTGTTATTTACAGCACAAGAGAAGAACTTCCTCAAGGAAACGCTTTGAGGCCTTAGGCTGGGGTTCCTGGTTTCACTTCCAGTGCCTTCATTTAATGACTGTGTGACCTGGGTAACTTGCTGTGCCTCTCTGAGCCTGAGTTGCGGAGAGGATTAAAGACATGGCTGGCAGCAGTGTATGTAGTCAGATGGCTTAGAGGCTTCCCATCAAAGTTCTTCATAATCCTGTAATCACTATTCCTTGCCATCACCTACAGCACACCTTCAGCTGTGGACTCCACGATTTCCCCCCTGTAGGCTGGGATGCTTCCACACTTAGTCACGGGCAGCCTCAGCAGACTAACCCCACCGTCAGGTTCATCCTGACAAACCAGATTTTCCTCCTTGCTGGCAAGACCAGAACCTGGGAGGCCAGGCTGGTAGGAAGTGACTGCTGAGTCGTAACACTAGTGACAGTGTTAAAGACTCCGTAAGTCCATTCTGTTTTGTCTGACACAGGGCTTCCTACAATTCAGGCTGGTCTCTGAACTCCTGGTCCTCCGGTGCCCACTGACCACATGCCACCATGCCATAGCTTTTGCTTTATTTGTGTATCTATATAGCACATGTGGGGAGGCCAGAGGACAACTTGGGGAAGTTGATTCTCTCCTTTCGCCAAGTAGGTCCTAAGGATTGAACTTGGGTCGGCAGGCTTGGCAGCATACCCCTGAGCCATCATACTGGCCCCATCTTTTGTTTTTAATGAAAGAGAAAATATTAATGCACTCGGTGTGTGGAAGGGTTAAGTAGTTATTTGACACTTTTGTTTTTCTCTATGCATGAATATGACTTTCTTTGTTATTTGAGATAGGGTCTTGCTATGTCACCCAAGCTGTTCCAGGACTCACGGCAATCCTGCCTAAACTGGGATTACAGACATGCAAGTCACCATGCTAGGCTGTAAATTTGGTCTTAATGTAAACTCTATCCATGCTATGCATCTCAGTCAATGAAGAGTGAAAGCCAGGGCCCGACTGCTTGGCATCAGGTCTCTAAGGAGACCATTCGTTCTTGTTTGGCTTCGGGAGCAAGTTGGGTATTTGCTGGCATGACGTTCCCTCTATGGGGCTTGCTGTGCCTGAGGGGCCACTGTCCACCACAAGCACCTCACAGGACACCGAACATGCCAACTTCCCCAGGGGGCTGAGAGGTGGAAGCATGCTTGACCCAAGCTCAGAGCCAAGCACCCTGGATAAGCTTGCGGAGCCTCATTGCCCTGGTCAGACCTTCCTGTCTTTTCTTTTAAGCATGAATCCCACGCAAGCACGGGAATGAGAATGCTAGGAACCCAAGGGGACAATTTCAATGAGCTTTGAATTCACCAACTCATACCCATCCAACCCCTACCTTGCCTCTCCCCAAGCCATTTGCAATATAAATGGTCAGATGGGGTTCCCCAAGGCTCACCTCTCCCTGAGCACAAGTATTTGCACTGGTGGCATTCCAGGAGCCCCTCGGCTTCAGACTTGTAATATTCCTCTTCCTGTCGTTCAGGCTGGGAGTGCAGGGACACATATCTCTCCGAAGCAAGTTCACTGCAACCAAGGAGCACGCAGACATTAGGGATGGCAACTCAATTTGTTTAGTATTAAGGTTTCATTTATGGTTTAAAAAAATTCATTCCTCAGCATGCAGCCTAGGCTTGCCTTAAACATGTTATCCTCCTGCCTCAGCCTCTGAAGTGCTAGGTCACAGCTTTGTGCTATCAAGCCCACTGGTATCAGAACTCTCAACTCAGTAAGGAACTTGGCCTTGAACCGCTGATCCTCTTGCCTCCACCTTCCAAGTGCTGGGATTATAGTCATATACCATCACACCCAGCCAGGCTACTTTTGAGATCTGTCATTTCTTCCTTGGCCACCCTGGCACCTTCTGTCTCTTTTTGTCCTTTCTTTTGTCTAATATATGCTGGGCTCTGCCCGAGATTCAACAGGAGGCTGCATTCTACTTGGTGGATTCGGGAGATTTCTAGGACATAGATGTCATCCCATCTTTCTTTGGTTTGAAATCCTTAATCCATTCATCAGCACACAGGAGGCTGTGCACACTCACAGCCTAGGCACACCGAGCACACAGGAGGCTCCTGCACTGTACACACTCACAGCCTAGGCACACTAAGCACACAGGAGGCTGTGCACACTCACAGCCTAGGCATACTAAGCACACAGGAGGCTGTGCACACTCACAGCCTAGGCATACTGAGCACACAGGAGGCTCCTGCACTGTGCACACTCACAGCCTAGGCACACTGGACCAGCAGCAGTGAGCAATCCTCCACCCCTAACAAGGACCCAGGCCTCTGGTCACTGAGGAAGTTGTTTTTCTGCTTGAAACACCTTCTGTCTTTCTCTTCCATCTTCCTTCCACGGAACTCAGCTCTAGGCCACCAGATTTATTCTTTCCGAAGCCCAGCTTCTTCTGTAAGAACTGCTTTCACATTGGGCTGCGGTTGGCTGCCTCACTGCCATCTCCCTGCACCGGTCTCTGAACCCTGACAGCAAATGACTGCATCCCGGCCCTGTATCCCCTCCCTTGTATCCCCTCCTTCCAATAAATGCTTACAAGGGCAGAGAGAAGCTGCCCTTTGGCCTCAACCCGCTAAATGAGCAACAAGCAAATGCATTTCTTTCGTTCACTTTGGGGTGAGGTGGGGTAACCAGGGCTCTGGTTTATGAGGCAACTTACAAATGAACTTCTTTTTTCTACTCCTGTGGTTGCAGTTCAAGATGGGTGCAGTCAGGGAGACAATAGTTGGTGTCAAAGATTGAAAGAGCAGACAGAATCTGGGCGTAGCTTTTGTAATGAATGCTAGTTGGTTTTAGATAGTGTAACGTAAACTCATGATAGCAGGCTTTCCCAAGGCTAACAGCAGAGGCCAGGTATCAGAACAGGACTTAGTAGCAGCTAAGGTTGCTAGGGTTGTCTCTGACAACGGCTCAGACCTCCTTGCAAGAGAGACAGGAGCTGAAATGATAATGACAAGACCATGCCTTGATGGGGATGCTTAGACACGCTAAGACTGCCAGGACATATGTCATCCCATCTTCTTTGGTTTGAAATCTTTAAACCTTTCATCAATGCATAGCATGCGCGCGCGCGCGCGCGCGCGCGCGCACACACACACACACACACACACACACACACACACACACACACGATGAAACATCAAGTCCCACCCAAGGACCGTTTTCTTTGTTTCGGTCATGAGGGGCAACATCTCTTTTATTCCATTCACTCACTCTGCAGAGCCCAGCTCCTTGCCTGCACATGGGACAACATCTGTGGAACTGGATGGCATGCTGACTCTCTAGGAGGGGGTGTGGTGACCAGGCCACCTGTGATCCTCCTTCCTGTCCCCATTCACAAACCTTCCAGGACACAGGTGTTTAGGGGACTTCAGGGTCCTACAGGTGAAGTCCGAGGGTGGGGTTTAAGCAAGCATAAGATTTGAAAGAAGCGGCTTAGAAAAGACCTCACTGATGAAGGGGTTACAAACCCACTCGAGAACTTCAGGTGGCTTTGATTTCTAGTTTAAAAGCACAGTTCTGCCATATGGTCTTGGGAGGAGGGGCAAGTCCAGCTATGAACTCTTCTTGAGCTAACTTAGTTTACCTCCCCCTCGCCCCGCCCCGCCCCGCCCCGCCCCGCCGAGCCCCGACACCTGGAAACTGGACTTTGAAACGTATGGAGGGCTAACTTGAGAAAAGGGTGTAAAGCATAAGTCATGGGGCCACTTGAGTGTAGCTTCCAGCTAGCCCCACCCACCTAGCCTTCTAAGCCGTTCCGGTTTCGGTCCTGAAACTCTCTCTTCCCCTGGTTCCAGGACCTTCCCTTTCTCCTTTGGTAATTAAGTTCAAACAAAGGCTTGGCCCCCGAGCGCCAGCTAGGATTTGTAGCCGACGGGGCGCGGTCCGGGTCCCCAGCAGGTGCACCCCCTCACCTGTCCAACCCGCGGCGCCCGAGGCCCTGCTTCCGCGGCAGCTCCGAGTCCCCCCAGGGCGCGGGCCTGGGGGTCGGGGCTGTGTCCCAGCTGGGCACCCAGGGCTCGGGCCGCGCACGGCTTTGGCGGGGCCTGTCCCAGGCTCTTTGTTCAGCTGCACGATGGCCCGCGTCCCTGTGTCCATCCTGGCGCGGGTCTCGGTCCGTCCTCCTTTCCCTGCCCGCTCGACGGTCCCCGTTTCCTCTCACGTCACCGTTCCTCTCCCTGTGTCTGTCCCCGACTCTGTCCCGCGGCCGCTCGACGTGGCGGTCTCGGTCCGGGTGCGGGCGCCGGTCTGGGTCTCGCTCTCTTGGACGGGCCCGGGGCTCGCGAGTCCCCAAAGGATCTTCCATGGCCCGGTTCCTGTCCCCGCCCGGAAACGACCCGAGGGCAACAACCAACCACAAGTTTTCCAGGCAGGTGCTCAGGGCTTCAGGACGGGGCGGCGGCAGCTCACCTGGGCGCACGCGCACTCGCCCTCGGGCGGTCCCGAGAGGGCGCACCTGCCCCTGGCCGCCAGGGGGCAATCGTGGTGACCAGCAAAGGAGGTGGGAATGGAGGTGGGGGGGGGGGCAGATTCTTGTCGAAATAGCTGTCAGCCCTAGGTGTTAGGGGATTAACAAAGGTAAGTGACCCAGAGAGCAGGTGATGGGATGTGGCCAAATCAGCTCAGCCTTCAAATGCTGTCTGTCTTTTAGGAGAGACGTCGGGAAGCCAGACCAATCATCTACGTATTTACTTTCGTGGTACTGGGCTTTAATCCCAGGGCCTCGCATGTCAAGGTAAGTGTGCTACTGGGCAATACCCCCAGTTGCAAAGATCATTAAACCCACTAAGACAGTTTCGTGCTACTGGGCATGTATTTGAGCCTTCTGATAGAGAACTTAACAGTGGGAGGAGTTGGTAACATTGCTACTCTAAAGTTGGGTGGAGTGACCCCACTCCCATCTGCTCTGATGTAGTTCTCCAGTGAAGCCAGCAGTGATTATTTCCTGTTGACCGACGTACAAAGCATCTTGGGTTTGCATCCCCCGAGTGTACCCATGAACTCAACCATCCATCCTTCTTAGCCACTCACCCAGCCAGCCAGCCCTACCCATTCACTCATCCAGCCTCCCATCCACGGTTTCCCTCCCTCCGTAGAGAAACTGTACTGCCAGTACATCATATATATATGAACAAAAAAGGAAAAGAAAAAAACTATTCTATTCACAATTGTCAGTCTTTAATTTTGCCAAGCTAGGATATTTGAAAACCCAGGAAACTGGCTTCTGTTTGTGTTTTCAGCAAGTGTGCTAAAGCACCTGACCTGGCAGGTGCTGGAGAAGCTGCAGGGACAGAGTACACTAGCGTGTGCTGGACAAGAAGGTGGAAAGGCAATGTTCTGTGTGGACCGAGGAATCGGTGACTCCAGGAGTTATTCTTAAATTGTGCTTTTCGAGGCATTGGAGTTCGAGGGAGTGCCTGCTTGGAGACCCACTCTGACTGTTGATCTGATCCCTGTTTCCAGATGTGAGTCTGGTGACGTCCCCTGTGTCTCCAGACATCACCGTGGTGCCTGGGGCTGAGCACATGCTCCAGCTGGACTGAGATGCCCCTCGAGTGGGCTCTGAAGAAGGGTCATACAGCAGGCAGTGTCTTTCCTGAGCTTTAACACAGGACTGTCTTGGCATTTCATTCCTCATAGCTGGAAGCACAGCCCTGTGGCTCCCACCCATGGAGATGGGTGCTGGGGGCAGCCAGAAGTCTTTGTGATCCCCTAAAGAGTTGTCACTGTTGGCTCATCCATGCTGTTTCATCTCTGCTTTGAAAATGTTAGAAACTGGCCTCCTGGCCATTTCTGTAGAGGCTTTGGTGTCCAGTTCTATGTCAGGTTCTGCCAATGTCACCACTAAGGCTACAGGATGCAGAGTTAGAGCCTTACAGACTTCAGAGGACTGCCCTTCCTCACCCCTGCATCCATCCGTGGCTCCATCACTATCATGCAGAACGTTAATCTCTGAAATCCCTTTCCAGCTCCAACTCAGTAGTCTAAAACGCGAGCCAGGTATCATGGGGGGGGGGGGAGCACATCTTCAATTCCAGCCTGTGATCTCTATAAATTACACATTGAAAGGCTGAAGCAGGAGAATTGCCAGTGTGAGACCTCTCTTGTCTATACAGTGAGCTCCAGGCTAGCCAGGGCTACTTAGCAAAATACTGTCTCAAAAAAGGGGGTTGTGTCTCGCTGGTAGCAGGCATGTCTCAGGCCCTAGGTTCAACCCTCAATACCACCAGAAAACTGCAAAGGAAATCATTGACACTGGGCAGAGGAGATGGCCCAGCGAGCACTTGCTGCTCAGCTGTGAGGACTTGAGTTCGGGTCCCCCAGAACGTACGTAACACTGGCTGAGGTAGCGCACATCTGTAGCCAAGCATTCCTACAATGAGGCAGGAGGTGGAGAGAGGGGATTCCTCCCAGACGCTAGCCTGGGCTATGCAGTGGTGAACAAGAAACCCTGTCTAAACAAGGTGAAAAATGAATACACAAACCCAAATTGTTCTTTGACCTTCACAAGTATGCCATGCTTACAGACACACACACACACACACACACACACACACACACACACACACACAGAGAGAGAGAGAGAGAGAGAGAGAGAGAGAGAGATTGTTTTAAAAGACCCCTCCCCAAAAGTTTAAAATCCAAAGTGTTACCCAAATTGGACACGTTGGGTCAAATGCCCCAGAGCTGTGAGCTTAGTCACAATCTTCTGAAACACAATGAAGGGACAGACACAGGCAGACATATTCACTGTAAAAGTGAGAAGTGGAAGGGAGAAGGAGACATGAGCCAGCAGAGCCCAGAGCCAGCAGAGCCCAGAGTCAGCAGAGCTTCCTTCCGATAGCTTGCCCAAGTCTGGCTGTCCCAGGCCTGCCTTTCTGACCACTGTCTCCTCTATAGACTCTCTTTTCATCTTCTTTCCAGGGCTCAGCTCACTAAGTCAATAATGTGTGTGTGTGTGTGTGTGTGTGTGTGTGTGTGTGTGTGTGTGTGTGCTTTTATAAATGGGCCTATTATTTGGCTTTACTTTGCAGAGTAAGTTCCATGAAGGTGGGGACTAACTGGTTCCCTGCTAAGTCTCCAGTGCCTAGAACATGGCACGTGTTCAATGAATGGATGAGCAGCCCCGCAGGATGAGCAGGAGGGAGCTGCATGGGTGCCACTGCCAGGAAACCAGCTCTGACCCCCTCCCAGATGCACGTGGCCTCACTTTTAAGCACCCCTAGGGCTTTGCTTCGGACACTCTGGATTTTCCCTGCTTTCTTTCTCTCTTTCATTCATCATTAAAACCCCACCCCCTGTCCTCCAAGCCCACTAAGGACAGGACATTCGATCATCTATGGATGCTCTCTCAGCGCACTAAGTTAGGATTTGCTGAGTGGCCATGCAGATGGCTCACTGTCCTTTGTGTCTCTCTCAGCAGAGCTTTGCTGAGCAGGTAGGGCCTGGGGTTTCTCTGTGTGAGGCTGGGAAGGTTTCAGAATTAGAGGAAAGTACCGTGTGTATGTGTGTGTGTGTTGTATTAATGTATGTGTTTAATTACTGTGTGTGTACACATATGAATGTGTACGTGTGCCTGTGTGCGAAGACCAGAAATTAACAGTTGGGTGTCTTTGTTGTCACAGCTCCGCTATATTTTTTGAGATAGGGTCTCTCAGTGAACCTGGAGCCATAGATGTGGTTAGTCTGCCTGATCAATGAACTTCAGGGGTCCAGTTGGGTTGCCAGATAAATGAACTTCAGGTTCATCTCCATTGCCATCCCTTCTGTCCAGCATTAGGGTTTTGAGGGCAAGCCACCTTGCTTGGCTTTTTACAAAGCTTTTTGGAAATCTGAATTCAGGTCCTTGTGCTTGTACAGCAGGCATTTTACTGGCTGAGCCATCTCCCTGTCCCCTGGGAAATCTGTTATTTTTTTTATTTTTTGGAGACAGGGTCTCATGTAGCCCAGTATGACCTCAAAGTCCTTGTAACTGGAAGTTTCTTATACCACCTGGTCCCACAGCCACTTTTAAACCACTCAGAGGCTTAATATTAATTATAAAAGTTTGGCTGATGGCCCATGCTTATTATTAATTAGCTCCTGCAAGTTAATTTAACCCATTTCTATTAGTTTATATTTACCAAGAGGCTCATGGCTTGTTACCTCATATCTTACTTATCGGGCAACTTCTGGTACCTCTCTCATCTTCCTCTTCTTTCTCCCTGTATTCAGTTTGGCTTTTCTGCATAGCTATATTCTGCTCTGCCATAGACCAAAGCAGTTTCTTTATTAACCAATGGTAATAAAACATATTCACAGCATACAGAGGGGCATCCCACGCCAAGCTGTTATGTAGGCAAGGATAACCTTGACTTTCTGATCCTCCCTCCTCCTAGTGCTGGGATTACAGGCATGCACCGTGCCTAGCTCATACAGTGTTGGAAATCAAACTTAGGGCTCTGTTCATTCTAGACAAGCACCCCACCAACTGTTCTATATCTCAGTCCTAGTTTTTTTTTAATTAATTTATGTATTATGTATACAATGTTCTGTCTGCATGTATGCCTGCCCACCAGAAGAGGGCACCAGATCTCATAGATGGTTGTGAGCCACCATGTGGTTGCTGGGAATTGAACTCAGGACCTCTGGAAGAGCAGCCAGTGCTCTTAACCTCTGAGCCATCTGTCCTGCCCTCTCAGTCCTAGTTTTAAAAATGATTTATTCATTCTTATCTTATGGATATTGGTATTTTGCCTGTATGTATTGTGAGAGTGTCTGATCCCTGGAGGTAAAGTTACAGGCAGTTGTGAGCTGCCATGTGGGTGCGTGGAATTGAACCCAGGTCCGCTGAAAGACCAGCCAGTGCTCTTAATTTCTCCAGTCCCAAGCCCAATTTTTTTTTTTCATACAGGGTCTTACTCTGTGGCCCAGGCTGGCCTGGCATCCTCTTGCCTCCTGAGTGATGGGAATCCACCATACCCATCATGGGAAGCCTTCTCAAGCCCAGTTATCTCACATTTCAATAACCCTCTGTGGACGTTGCCAATTTGCTAACAACAACAACAACAAAGGCCACGGCAGTCTTTCCTCTAATACCCTTTATATTATAAAAAGAAAAAGAGTGTTTCATTTTCTTAGAGACATACGCCGAAGCATTGTCTGTCTTAATTTGTACAGGTGTGTTGGGAGCTGTGAACCTTCAGATCCCAAATTTCTTGTAAACAATCTGTTTTCCCCTGATCTGAGTGCCTACAGCTGCTCTGAGCACGAGACCCTCAGGAGTTCCTGATGGCAGGGGAATGGTCTCTGGTGCGTTTGTCTGGGGCATGTCTATCTCTATATAAGCTGCCCCTGGACATAATAAAGGGGGCATTCTTGGGGCATTCTGGCATCAAGGATGACCTGTGTCTCTCTCTGTGAATATTT